GGGACCGAGCGGTGGTGGGGGTAGTGTGGTGGGGTGGGTATAAAGAAGGTAAAAGTAGGGGGGGGGGGTGGGGACATTACTCCCCCCCCGCCGCTGCTGAGGAGCGTCGCGCAGAGAAGCCCCTCCCCGCCAGACCTCCACGAAGGCGTCCGTCAGGTCGCTGGCTCGGTCCATGACGGGCAGGTGCCGCCCCGCCACGATCTTGACCTTCAGCTTCCCCCGCATCTTCCGGGCGCTCCGCCTCTTGCCTCCTTCCCTGGCGGCGCCCGCCGCCGAGGCAGCGGGCGAAGCGCCTCTTCCATAGAAGCCGGCAGGAGGAAGGCACCCGGGTCAACGTCGCCGGGGCGCATGCGCGCGCGGGGATGGCGACGGCCCGCTGGGGCTTCCTCCGCGCTTTCGCCCCCTCAGCCCGCGCGTGCGCAGCTCCAGGACAACGTCCTCTCCCCTCTTCGCCCTCGACTCACGGCCCGACGAGTCCCTCGTGCGCGTGCGCGGTGGCCTCGCCCTCAGGTTCCGTTGCTCGTAAGGGTGCGTCTTTCTTGCCCCTTGACTAATATCTTTTTTTTTTTTTATGGTTTTTCACGTTCGCCTCCGGACAAGCTTTGTCAATGGTCTTCGGGCGGGTACGTCCCGACGGCTCTGATTCTACTAAATAAAGCGGCCTCTCCTCAAACAGTTAGGCAGAGAGGGAGCGGAGAGAGAAATTAACGAAAGTCGTAGTAATCGAGTACTTCGATGGGCACCTGTTTGCGGTTGCCAGGGTTACCAGGCTGCGTAGAAGACCCGGAGTGGTCGATGTCTCAGATTTTTGGGCTGCGGGCGCCAAGTGTGGTGTTATTTCGTTGCTCCTGCAGGGAAAGGCCTGGAGTACTGTAAAGTTTTCTGCCTTGGGTCTGACCGCCATATAAAGTGTATTTATTCATTCATTATATGGCCATCCATCTCACGAAAAGCGTGACTCTGAGCAGCGTACAATAAAAACTTTAAAACAGTGATATACAAAATGACAGGTTCAGATTAAAAATTGTGGTTAAAAGGCGAAGAGAGGGCAGCAGATGTTAACAGCAACGGAGCCACCTCAGCAACTCACCAGTCCGTTGGAGCCCCCAGACCTGATGGCATAACCAAGTTTTGAGGGACTTCTGGAAAATTAACAGGCATGGAGCCAACCTCACTTGGGGCAGGGGGGATGATGTTCCATAAGGCAGGTGCCAAAATTGGGTTCAGGCTTGGAAATCCATGGGATAAATTAGTTAAGAGGAAGGATGTTTTCAAGCTAATTTATTTTATTTCTTTATTAGATTTTTATCCTGCCTCTATTATTTTTTTAATGCAAACTGTGCCCTATGGTATTGAACTACACAGATCATATAGTTCCCAAGTAAAATATTGGAATTGCAGCTAGGGTTACCAGACGTCTGGCAAAAAGAGGATGTGTCCTCTTTTTTGTCCCCACGTCCTTCATCTGGGGGGCATAGCCTAAAATTAAATATTGTCTGGTTTTTTGGGTGTCCGGGGGGTGGTGGTGTTATTATTATTTTGGACTTTTTCACAACAGTAGTCATTCATACTTTCACATATTGTGATTCTGTAAACTGTCTGCTTCTTTTTTTTCCTTGTATGTCGACAGACTCGATAGCCTGGATTTACGTTATTTAACTTATCTCCTGATTCCAGTGATCAGCTTCAATCCAGCCCCTTCAAATCTATGATCACTAATCTATAAGTCACATGGTCCAAGCTCAGAGAACCCCAAGGACTTTACACCTTCAAATCTATGATCACTAATCTATAGGTCACATGACTCATGCATTTCTGTGCTGGAATTTGGAAAGTGGGTTGTCATTGATTCTATGTTATAGCTAGCATATGGTCTTGAAAATAAAAATTTGCTGGAAAAATATTGCAAGTGAAAAGCCAGTCTTCCTAATGCTGGAAAAAGTAATTTCATATACATGAAGGCCTAAGTACATTTTTTTGGTAGTTTTTCACTGTAATTTTTGTTGTGGATGCCAAGAAAGTAAAACAGTACGTACTCCTTTTCCCCTCCATTTGTCCTCCTTTCCAAGTGTCTGTGTCCTCCTTTGCCTGTTCAGATATCTGGTAATCCTAATGAAGGGTGCTTAAAATATTCTTCAGTTCGTTCTTGTAATATTTTTTGGAAAGTAGAAAAGCTGGAGGACTGCAAAGGAATAAGGGCAAGATTTTGGTTTTAAGTCAGGGTGATTAATCCATAGTCCTTGTTTGGAAGCACCCTAACTTGGCTATAGCTGTTCTCTATATAACTAAGCCTGGATCCAACCCATACATTCATATGGGTCCATTCCTGTTAACATTCCCCAGGTCCCTCAAGACCTGGCTATGTGATAAGTCCTGGGGCTCCCAGGACACCAGGGAGATTTCGCAATGGCTCTCATTAATTTCATCCCTTCCTGTTTTGTGTGCTTTTATGATTTTTATTTGTAATTGTTTTTATGTAGTTATTCTTTTTAATTGTTGTACGCTGCCCAGAGTCACTGTGTGAGATGGGCGGCTATATAAATATGATAAATAAATAATAAAAATAATACATGTTAGATGTCATCTTTATTGCTGTACTATTGAATAGACAGAATGATTGCTTTTGGTTAATAGGAAAGCTACCTTCTGGAAATCATACACAAGTTTGCTCAAAAGTAAAATCTGCTTTTCTTCCTATACACTGTAGGACTGCAGCTTTAGTCAGCGATTTCACTGCATTGGTTTTCACATACAGGAAAATTTGTTTTTTTACTGTGCATTTATGCATATGTATGAATGTACAGATAGACCTAATCTGCAGACTGCATGCAGATTTTTGAACATGAAAGCTGATGCTTATAGAAGCATGTTACAAGATTGTTATTTCTTGCTTTTCAACAGTTCAATACATTGATCTTTCTGGTCCCTGAAATTTGTTGCTGTTGAACTATTTATTGAGTTATATCTGTATTACACTAACAATTTAGCATTTCACCAGATTTAGAGGAATAATAAAAGTGTTATTTAATGTTTACACAGTCATCTTGGACTATAATCCTGAAATTTCAACATTCAATTTATTTATATATTGAAGGGTAAATAAGAGGTTTAAGCAACTTGAAAGAATGTTACAGCTGTTTCACAGATAAATTCTCTTTCCTTTTAGTGGGGACAAGAGATTGTGTAAACAACAGCATGTGAATTTGGTTGAGTGGTTCATAGAGGTTTTGGCAAGACATAATCTAAAATTGAGTAAAAAGATGTAGGTCTGGAAAATTGTATCATTATATAAAGGGGTTTTAAAAACGAAATATCCTTGTTTTGTCAATGTGTGAAAATGATTATTTTAATATATACAAGTTTTGATATTGGCAGTTTACCAATTGGGCTATTAAATATCATTTTCAAAAATGAAAAATTACTTCATAATTACAAACCTATGCACATTTAAATTCATTTTCCCCAGTGCATTTAGTCACTGTTAGTTGTGTATTGGATTATCTGTAGTATTTTCAGCCAAATCCTATTTATGTGTATTCAGAAATAGGTTGTGCTAAATTCAGTGGTATTTAATTCCAAGTAAGATTATATAGGATTTCAGCTTTAGATTAGTAGCCCCCCAAATTCTAGAGTGAATATAATATTTTCATTCATTTCTGCAGCCAGGGTTAAAAAAAAAAAAAAAAAAGGATATTTTCAGCAGGGAGACGAGAAAGAGTGACCCTTTGTAGAGCTCTGTCAGGTATTTCTTAGTGTGCTAAAAGAGTTAGCTAACGAACAGAACAATAACCATGTGTATTTCAAAAACATAAAACAATTGCCACTCTTAAGGCTTATGTGATGACGTGTTATGCTGCCTATTGCCAAATTAGTCAAATTGTTTTGGGGCTAATATGGTTTTGGTATTTTTATATTTCAGCAGTTCTAAGGTCAGTCAAGGGCATTCATTGCTTCTTAAAACCTTGGCTTTGGCCTGTAAAAATTCTTTTAATTTTATTTAATTTATTCTATTTAATATAGACTCTGGGCAGTTTATAAAATCCATAAAAAAGTAAACAATTAAAACCAGGGAATAAAAGTTTACCCAAAGATAACCTCTGTCAGGCAGCTGATTATTTCATTGATGTCACCATTGTTGAGCCTGGTATTCTGACAATGGCTAGGATGGGAGAAAGGAGGCTCCCAGATATAATTCTTGAGAACACTATGAAACAGTTTCAGCCCCTTCTCAAGCTATTGGTCTTTATCAGTCAGGGCTCAAAATCCTTGTGTCCAGTAATTATTATGCTGCTTCTACCACAAAGTCTGCTTCTTTGCTCCCCAAGTCTGTCTATGACCCAATAATTCACTTCCTAGATTTTATCTGATACTATATACTGTAGTGCAGTGTTTCCCAAACTTGGGAACTTTAAGATGTGTGGACTTCAACTCCCAGAATTCCCCAGCCAGCCATACTGACTGGGGAATTCTGGGTGTTGAAGTCCACACATCTTAAAGTTCCCAGAGTTGGGAAACCCTGCTGTACTGGGTTAAAATCAGCTATGAATTGAAGATATAAGTAGTTGCCATAGGTATCGATTCAACTGCACAAGCTTTTATTTTTTGAATCATTGTATAGGAAATTAATTGGAGTCCCCATAACTTTATTCCCATCTTCCTCTTCCTGGCACAGTTGATGAAAGTGACCCCATGGCAAAGTAAACAGGAAGCCATGTTTCTGAGCATTGAATTAAATAAGACTACTGTTTTCTGTATATTTAGTCAAGTTGCTCTGATAAAATTTACATTGAAATTTTGATTGGGTTGAATATTTATACATTGCTCTATAGTTGCAAAACTCACAAGGTGGTTTTAAAAAGTCCATTTTAATAACAAAATATAGTACAGAACTTAAAGAGAGAACAGCAGAAGCAGAAAGAAGTCTATTTATACAGAGAGTAAATAACTGGCAGAGAGATTGTAAAACTGTCTAAATAATTGTTACAATGTTTGTGAGAAAAATTAAAAGTGTATATGAGTATGTCTCTCTCTCCCTGTCTCTCTCTCGCCATATATAGACACACACATAATGTAAATGTGCTAATTCTAATCTTATGTATGGTTGAATAACCAGGCCGGTATTGTCAAAACATAGTTTCACATTCCTAGTCAGCCATAAAATTCTTCTGGTAATCTTAGCCTAATTACCATATTTTCCAAAGGATTATTCTGAAGATAAATTGGGGCAAGCAGGAGATAAGAGGAAAATGTTATATTTTTCTCCTATGTTTCTAGGA